AATAACATAGCATTATGTGTCATAGCTAAAGTACCACGTATTATATTAATACCACAAATTAATGAACATTCTGTTGAAAAACGTATTGGTCCTGAAAAATCTTGATCAAGATCTTTTTCATCAACTTGTAATATTTCATCATCATCTGTTATTATTTGATTAAAATTTTGTATTTTTTGTTGTTTTAATTGTTTTAATAAATTTTCTTCTTGTATAAAAGATATTATTAAATCATCATTAATACCATTAAATGATGATTTTTGTGTTGCTTCATTATGTATAGAACCATTTGGATTACGTATTAAACGTCGTCGTCGTCTTAAATCACCTTCCCATGGATCTAATTTCCAAAATAATCTTGAACTATTTAAATAAACTGTTTTTTCATTAATCATCATCATTAAAAATTTTTCTTGTAAACGTAATGCTATAACTTGATGTCGTTGTCTTGCTGCTGTTATAAAATGTTCACATAATTGTTCTTCTGATTTACGCTCAACAGTTGTTTGTGCTGATAATTGTTCAAATTCACTTGCTTTACGTATATCATCAGCACGCATACAATTAAGTATAAAATCAGCTTCATTAGCTACTTTAACAACATGATCTTTACTTGCATGAGATAATAAACGTCCTTCATTAACTAATTCAATAAAAGCTAAACCAGCATGTTTCTAAAATCAAAACAAAAAAAAATGCAAAAATTTTCTTTTTTCAATTTTAATAAAATTTTTGTCTATAGAATATTATTTAATATTCTAATTAAAATAATTTTCAAGATAAATTCTTAGAAAAAAAAAATTTAAATATTACTTGAAGAGAATTTTGCCATTCTTGTGAACATAAAAGCATAACAAGTTCAACAACTGATGCTGTTTGTTTAAGTGCATGTAAACCATTAGGTAATAATTCTTGTCCATATGAACCAACTAATGTTTTTGTAAGTATATGTGAAAATTCTATAAATATATCACGTAAAAATGGTGCTATATTCGATAATGCTCGTTCTAATTTTTCTATTATATTCATTGATGATTCATTTGAATTAAAATTTGCTTTTGGATAATCGGGAAGTTTTGATTCAGTTAATTGATTTTTATTTATTGTTGTTGAATCACTAGTAGGAATACTAGCAATACTTGCTATAAAAAAATGTTATGGTTACTTCTCTACATCATATATACCGTATTGAGTAGCTGTAGCACTTGTATTATTTATATCGATTGAATTTTTATTAGTCGATTGTAAATTTATTTTATTAACTTCATTATTATGATCAATAACTATTGATTCATACTTATTCTTCTACAAAATACACAATTTTTTAAACTTCCCCCCCCCCCCCCCCAAAACAAAAAAATTAATTTAACAAAATTCATACTTGATTATTTGTAATCGATGTTGAATCATTTATACTAACTGTATCTACATTTATCTCATTAGTCGAACCTAATAAAAAAAAACAAAGTTTCTAACAAAGAAATAATAATCTACTTAGGGCAAACCAAAAGTTCGTAGAGCGGTTTTACAGAACCTTGTCGGATAAGGTAACCTATTTAGAAATGAAAAATCAAATACACCGTGTTGTAGAGCTTTTTGAGGCGCGTCGAATGGTATATAATAAATCCTGTTTTCATAAGACTTTGAAGGAACTAGAGCCAATTTACTGATAGACGACTACGCACCCACAATCGCATCCACCCATACCCACACTGACAAGATGACCGGAGATGCTACATATATGAGGTTGTAGCCCCTCAAAAACTCTGCAAAATCGGATGTGAGAAAAAATATTTTACAAATACTTTCGACTAATCCCAAGGACCACAATATTCAGTAACCTATCATACTTAGGTGAAGGTGTGAGTATGGGTGAGTAGTCATCTATCAGTAAATTGACTCTAGTTCCTTCAAAGTCTTATGAAAACAGGATTTATTATATACCATTCGACGCGCCTAAAAAAACTCTACAACATGGTATATTTGGTTTTTCATTTCTAAATAGGTTACTTTAGCCGACAAGGTTCTTTAAAACGGTTTTACGAACTTTTGGCTAGCCCTAAGTAATATATTCATACCAACGTCGAATACTAGGTGTTGTACTTATAATTGATGGTTGTCTAGGATAATTTGCTTGATTTCTTTCAAATTATATCTCGATATCTTGATACCATAAGTACTGATTGTAAAATAAAAAAATTCAAAAAAACAACAAGTCAACGTCGAATAACTCGAAAAAATATGACAAATGGAAGTGATCTTATTTCAAAAATGCATGCAATGATGGAAAAGCATAAAGAAGTAAGAATTAATATAAGAGGGAGAACTACAAAAAGGTTTTTTTTTCCCCAATGTTCTTGATACTTTAGTTTTAGCAGTTCCTTCAGAGTCTAGAAAGTTGATAGTCTTGCACTGTTTTATTTATCTTCTAATACAGTTTGAAAACTTGTGTTAGAAGTAGACACTAGCAAATTATATTCTATAGGAAAGCTGGTGTGATATACTTGTTTTATAACAGTATATTTGATCTGTCGAACGAAAAAAAAAACAATTTTTCTTTTTAAAAATATTTCTAGTCATTTTTTGTTGTTCGTTTACGTAATCCAATGTCAAATCCTGCAACATTAACCAATACAGATCCATTAATACAATGTGATTTAATGGAATCTCGTGATGCATTTTTAAATTTTGCTCGTGAAAAACATTGCGAATTTTCCTCATTACGTCGTGCAAAATATTCAACAATGGTTTCATTAATTGAATTACATTCATCAACAGCCGATAAAATATCTTATACATGTAATTCATGTCGACAATTATGTGATATTCGATATCATTGTACAATATGTGAAGATTATTGATTTATGTAGTAAATGTTATATAACAATAAAACATGAACATCGTATGGAACGTTCAGATGATACAAATGAAATAAAAACAAATGCGGATACAACAATTAATATTCAACCACAAAGACAATTAACAATGCAACGAATGTTAGATGCTATACGTCATGCTGTACAATGTCGAAATGCAAATTGTATATTTAAAAATTGTTCATTATGTAAAAGATTATTACAACGTACAAAAGAATGTACAAAAGCATCAAGAAGTCAATGTCAACCATGTAATAAATTTCTTTCACCAATTTGGCTTCATGCTAAAACTTGTACTGATCAAAATTGTTTAGTATGTACAAAAATATTATAAAAAAAAATTTTTTTATTAGATAATTTTCATTGAAAATTATTTTAGTTACCTTTTTCTGCAAGTTTTAAACATAAAATTCAACGACAATGTGCAGCGACTATGCAAGCTGATCGAAGACGTATTAAAGCTATGCATCGAGCAAAAATGGGACCAGGTAATTATGTACCAACAAAAAAAAGGGAATTCATATCCTTAATTAAACTATCTATTATTCTAGGTCCATCACCAATTAATTGGCAAAATTCTGAACCAACAACATCTGGACAATATCATCATTCAATGGAATCAGCTTCACCAAGTTCAACTGGCAAAGTGATGCCATCAAGTGGTAAAGGTAGTAAAGGTGGTAAACCTTCATCTATGAGTGGATTAATTCGTGCTAATTTAACACAACAATTACCAACTCAACAACATTCTGTTTATTATAATGGTGTCATGGTAATCCAACTGGTATTAATAATAATAATAATAATAGTGGATATCCAATGATGATGACGACACATCCTCAACAAACACCACAACAATTGATACCATCACAACAACCAATTCTATATGCATCTCATGAAGGAAAACCACTGGCTTGTAATCAACAAAGAATACCTTATGGAGGTGATCCATATATAATGAGACAACAAACACCACAAGTACCATCATCGGCATCATATCCATATTCATCAAATATAGGTAAATAATTAAAATAGGGATTTCATTTAACCCAAATCTTTTTTTTTCTTTTATTTTTAGCTGCACAAAGTTATTCATATTCTCAACCCATGGATATCAATACACAGAGGTGCAGAATCTTCCAAAAAATAAAAAATTCTCCCCCCCCCGCGGAAATTTTCTCCAAAAATTTCCCTAAGCTGCTTTTTCTTCGCCGCTCACAGACCAACTTTATTTGTCACAAAATATAAGTAAAAAAAGCATGGCAATATTTTGTTCTGTGTGTTACTGTCCGTACAACATACGAATTCTTTCTACTTGTTTTTTTCTTAAGCGGTTCAAAACAACTGAACCAGGTGAAACTAATTTGAATAGACGATGTTGTTCTGTTTTTTTGAAGAAAATCCAATATTTGTCCTTCAGCTAAAAGAAGTAGTTGTTGAGGCAGGACTAAAAAACCAACACAACATATAGGAAAAGAACTAGCATATAATGGAATTATCCATGTTGGACAAATCGTTAACATTTCTTCTTTCGGCCACGACACAGTTCAGCAAGCGATAAAAGGGTGCAAAGAAATCTGTGGAAAAAGAATTGCCAAGATGTTATACTTCGATAGCAATGTGTGTGTTCTTGGCAAGATCAAGAATAGAGCATACAAGTAAAGCGAAAAACTCGAAAGAATAAATTATATCCTGTAACAGTTAATTATGACGAGGCCAGGGTCTTCCCTTCTAATAGGTTTTCAAAATTTCCCCAGTCTGGGAATTTTCCAGAATTTCCCCGAGTAATGCAATTTTTCAAAAAATTTCCCTTCCAGCGCGGGGGCGCACGAGGAAGATTCTGCACCTCTGGTGAAAAGGGTCAACGTTTGTAAAGTGAGGGTGAGGGGGCCCTGGGTGTGAGGATGAAAAGGAGCAAGGTCTGTAAACTTGAGGGTGAGGGGGTGTGGGTGAATGGATGAAAAGATCCAGGTTTGTAAAATCGTAAAGTCGTAACGACTTAACGATTTCTACACTACTGCTCTATCAAACCCACTATAAATCAAAAAATCGAAAAATTTGACGAAAATTGACTTTTTAGGGTGGGGGTCCCCCTTAAGTTAATTACTAATAATTTTGTTTTTTTTAAAGCTGCTGGTTAATCATTAATTTCTCGATAAGTAAAATATTTGAATAATTTTTGCTTTTGT